GGTGCTCTACATTAATTCCAATCGACATGCAATAATCATCAAATGCATTCGATGTATATTCACCATCATTTTCCAGACGTATAGTCTTAATTGGATTATCGGGGAATTGTGCCCGTAATTTAATAATTTGGGCAAGCAATCTTGCAAATGCCATATTGCGAGTAGATAACAAACAGACATGTGACCATCTGGTAGATACATCAATAAACACCATAAAATATTTAAATGGCCCACACTGTGGGTCTATTGGTCCACATATATCCCCGTGTATTCTTTAAAAAAATGTAGGTGATTCAATACCTACTTTAGCTGGTGATGGCTTGGTTATCAATTTTCCCTGAGTGCAGGCAACACAGGTTAATTCATTTGAGTTTAATACTTTTTGACATTTTAATGAATGGCCATGCGCATTCTCAATTATTCACCTCATCATTATACTGCCAGGATGCCCAAGACGATCATGCCATATTTGAAAATCGGTAGTCTTTTGATCTACCGTGAGGTATGTTTCAACAACACCTAATCTAGCATAATATAAACCAGTAGAGAGTGAGGGTAATCTCTCAATGATGCATTTCTTTTTATCAATGATATTGGTGATTAATAAAAATTCACCATCGGTATCACTCATAGTTTCAATGTGATAACCATTTTTTTCCGAATGTCATGAAAACTCAGTAAATTTATTCGAGCTTTAGTGGCCAACAGTGCATATTGTATCACAATTTTTGTCCCCGCGGGGAGAAATATAATGGCTTCTCCAGAGCCTTCAATTAATTTTGTACTGCCACTTATTGTATTGACATTCATCTTTTCCCTTTTCAAATGAGAGAAATATTTTTCGTATTTCAATATAGTATGTGTCGTTTCACTGTCAATGAAACATATATTTGCATCATTTTGTTTGGCATCCATTTAATCTTCAAATATAAATAAACGCAGTATTAATAAAGACATATATATGTATTACAAAATGTATTACAAAAAGGTAGTATGCGATAATTTAAATATCACAAAATATAAAATGACATAATATGTCTATCACTGGGGGTTTGCTGGATCTACGACAAAATCCGCTATATCGAGATGCGTTGTGTCGTAATCCAAAAGATCATCGTCGGGGTCGTCATCATTATCAACGTGTTTAGTCTCGACCTCCTTCCCCTTTTTCTGCAGTGAGGCTTGATAAAGATCGGCTAGGTGTTTGGCTGTTCTGTAGGTATTGGCCCAATGGCCTTCAATGCCACACCGATTACAAATGCCGATTTGCCTATTTCCCTGTTTAGCCTTTTCGGCTATATCCCCATATTGAGGTTTACTCTGCTTCCTATTGATGTCAATACCGCGGTGATTGCAAGGGGTATATCGACCGCGTTGACTCTCACGACCGCGACCACGACCATGACCTCTACCACGTCCTCGGCCTCGTTCATAAAATGTCACGTTCGCTTTAGGGAACGGACTAGAACCGGTGGGCCGGGACTGATGATTTTTCATCAATAATTCATTATTTTGCTCAACTAATAAAAGACATGCAATGAGCTGTGAGTACTTTTGAAAATTTTTCTCGCGATACTGCTGTTGCAGCACAACATTAGAAATATGAAAGGTAGAGAGAGTCTTCTCCAATTTATCATTCTCAGTAACAATTTCTCCGCAGAGTTTCAACTGAGATGTAATTTGATGGATAGCAGAGTTGTACTCTGTAACAGTTTTAAAATCCTGCAATCGCAGGTTAAGCCAATCATGTCAGGCTTTGGGGAGAATGATATATTTTAAGTGCCTAAGTCTCTCCCTCAATTCATTCAACAAATTTAGTGGATCTTTCACCGTCAAATATTCAGAATGTAAAGGAATGTCCAAATGATGACGGATGAAAATAATAGTCTTAGCCCGATCTTGGCTTGTAGTCGTATTTTCACTGGCAATTGTATGAACAAGGCCCATAAAAATCAGATGTATTTCTACATCCAGGGACCAAGTCAGAAAATTATTGTCGGTGAGAGACAGAGGTTTAAAAGAAAATTTTGCAAGGTTTTCCATAGTTTAAAAAATAGATAATATAGATAGTATAAAAATAAAACTTATCAAAAATAAAATGAGCAAGAATCTTTGTGCTGATAACGTGTTATAACTAATAATATAACATAATCGTAAGTGTAATATATATATGTGTACGGGTGTGCTTATATAAATATATATATAATTGTGTGTATAGGTGTATAGGTGTTTATATTTGTGTATATATGTATAATTATGGAGAGAGATAGAGTTTGAGAGAATTGTGTGATTTTTCATATCAGATCACTCCAACATTCAATGCCTATTTATCGGTGTTAAAACATTGATAGGAAGAAAGAGAAAAAACATAAAAAAAAAAGTGTCACGTAGTCACTTCGTGTGTACTGCGTACATATTTCATAACAATATTTTTATTTTTTTATTTTTTGTCCTCACACCCACACAATCCAAACTTTCTCGTTCATTTATCTTTCACACGTGGATAATATTGATTACACTAATACAGAATTATTATTTTAAAACACATCAATGACAATTACAATTGAAATTTGAAGAACAAAATTTGAAAATATAAATTTATCAGTCTTTTTATGCATATATTATATTATAATTTAGGTATTGTGAATACTAATTTTTATTTTTTTGATTATTTACTTATATTATATGAATATTTGAATATTAAATAAATTGATTTGTTGTCCATTGATATCAAGATTAAATATTTATTCATTTTTTTATTGATACTGTTGAAATATATTTTTTAGATCTTTAGTTTATTTTATGTTTTTGTTGTTTTTATATTATTTTTATTCATTAGGTTATATTAGTATGATTTGAGTTTACAAGTATGTTTCATATCTATTTATGGATTTCCTATTTTTATTATGAATAATATGCAATTTTTTAGACTATAATTTTTTTTATATAGTATCAGAGTTTATATTATTATTTATTATTATTTTTTTTTTGAGTAAACACAACCTACTAACTCACATTTCTCTGGAAATGCTCAACTTAGAACGTATGATGTATCGGAGGTCTCCTAATCTTTGAGATTGTGCAACTTCTGGTTTTGATTTTATTTAGAGTCTTGAAATTTTTCCGCAAAATCAACCACGTTGCTGCCCATTATATCTCCAGTTTTCTTCCTTCTCCAGCCGTCACCACCACCACCGCTACGTTCGTCGCCTCAAGTCCGGCGATCACAAAAAATCATGGCAAACGACAGCGCATCGGGACCACACGTGCTTGATGAACACGCCACCGCTGATCTTGCCGGTGCGTGAGAGTGTGTGCCACCGCCATCACTAGAAATGTTTTTCCAGCATTCTCAGAATTTGATTTTCTTTTTGATAGTATATTTTGTTTTTCTGTTTATTTAGTACTCCATCGTCATAATTCAAAGCACTTTTTTTTACTATTTGCGTCCATCCGACTTCAAAATATCAATTTTCATTTTAGAAAAATTAATTATACACTAATATCAAAATACTCTTAACTTTTATTTAAATTATAAATATACTATTACACATATAATTATTTTATACATAAAGTCAAAGGACAAAAATGTCAAAAACTCTTACATATTTTCACTAACTAATAAAATACTATTATTTTTTAATTTACTATATAATTCCAAGGAGCTCCTTTTCATTTAGAGCGGAAGAAGTACATCATATTCGAATGTCCCTCTTTGTTTCGGTTCGATTCGGCTTTGTGTTGGTGTTTCTGCGAGCTACTTCTGCATGTGTTTGAATAGACGACTCAATATCTGATATCAAATTTATTCTTGGACAAAGTTATGTTCGACTTTTGATTTTTTGTCGTGATTTCACTCAAAACTTTGTTTTCCATTGCGTTGAGAGTGTCATTTTCGATTTTATTAAGAGTCTCTCTCATTCCGGTTATATGTATACATAGGGGCGGATGTATTGTAGGGCAAGGGGGGCTCCCCCTCACCCCACCCACCCCACCCTTTTATTTACTACTCCCTTCGTTCACTAAAAATAGCCCATTTTAGTCCGGTAACGAGTTTAAGAAAAAAAATATTTTATTGAAAAAATAATAGGTAATTTGAGGTATTTTTAAAAATTTAGTTAGAAATGAAAGTAAATAAAGTGAGAGATAGAATAAAGTTGGTAATATTTGTTGTAAATAAATGTTGAATGTAGAATAATAATTAAATATTGATTTTGCAAAAATTAGTAATGTAATAAATTTAACGGATAAACAAAAGAAAAATGAAAATAAATTTGGCGGACAGAGGGAGTATTATATATATTTTTTAAATATATGTATATATATATAAATTGCTAAAATAAAATTATGAAAAATATTGAAAATTAAGATTTATTTAATTTAAATTTAAATTAATATTATTATTATTTAGTATGTATAAATTTAAATAAAAATATATTTATTTAAAAATATCATATTAAAATATTATTTAAATAAAAAATTAAATATAATAGTTAAATTTAAATTAAAACCAAATAAATCTTCAATTATGGGAATGAAATAATTTTAATGATTTTTTTTTTTATTAAATGTAAAAAGTTCTTTTAAAAATAAATATTTTATTTGTCAATTTCAAACAATAATAAAAAAATATCTAAAATATATAGTCACAGTATAATTTATCAATATTTTTAAAAATAAAAAATAAAAACAAAAACAAAAAGTGACGGATAAGCATAAGGGTGTGCATTCAGTCTATTCGATTTTGGAACGGAGGAAGTATTATTTAATAATATATAATTTATTAGTTTTTTTAAAAGTTCGATTTTTTCGATTAATCAAAATTAAAAATTAAAAACCATAATCAAATCAAAATCGAAATCAAAATCGAAATTTATAAATTTAATTTTCGACTGAACAACACCAATTAATCGAATAATCCAAACAAAAAAATATTCGATTTTTTCGATTTGAACCGAACAATAGTCACCGCTGCATCATCAGCTCTGTGCTAGAGGGTATTATTTTCAACGAGGGTAACAAATATCCATTATCATTGCATATTCAGAAATAAATAAAATAAAATAAAATTCAGAGCAAACACATCGTTATGTCGACCGCACATTACTTGATTAATAGTAATTTGCAGCATAAACATTATTATTGTTATTTAGCTAAAACATTACTTACCGCAGTAACAAATCTCTTTTCAGTCTTTCCGCAGTGATCGGACGAATTTCTCCAGCGCCGCCACCGACGATCCGTCCGGCTGCGCCGCCGCAGCGACGGCCGCCTTCATCTCTGAAGCACGGTGCCTGATTGACCTCCCCGTCAACGACTCCGTCACCTCCCGAATTCGATTCTCCAACTCGTCCGCCTTCACGAAACCGTCCGCCGCCGCCGCCAGCGGCAGCCCTAGCTTGAACTCTTCCACCACGAGGGTAGCATTGATAAACTGGTCGGCGTCTATCGGCCAGCAGATCATCGGAACCCCAAACAGAAGCGCCTCATTAATGGAGCTCCGCCCGCAGTGAGTCACGAACGCGCCGACCGAGTCGTGACTCAGTATCTCCTTCTGTGGGGCCCACGATTTGATAACTAACCCACGTTTTTTAGTCCTTTCTAAGAAACCGTCAGGCAGCAACTCATCCAAGTTCACCTCCCCCGCCGGCGACGAGCTCTGCATCTCCGGCGGACTCCGTACGGACCAGAGAAAATGGCGACCGCTGTTTTCTAATCCGACGGCGATTTCCTTCACCTGTTTAGCAGAGAACAAGCCTCGTCTGCCGAAGCAGAGGAACACAACGCTCCGATTCGGCTGCGAATCGAGCCACTTGAGGCACTCGTGATCGCCGGCGCTGGTTTCAGAAATCAGTGGTCCGACGAAGTAAACAGGAGGAGATACACCGTTCGGAACGCAGAAACCGTTGGATAATGCTTCCTTAGCGCGATACTCAAGCGCATCGAACGTGTTCACGAGGATTCCCTTGGATCTGCGAACTTCCATGGCGGCTTTCAGAAAGTGTAGGTAAGTTTTACTCTGACGAAATGCAAGCAGCTTAGGCAAAGCCGAGCTGTGAATCGGCGGATATCCAGGAATTTCCAGAAAATCATCCAAATCCTCGATGTTTCCATTAACGATTTCATCAATAACCGGAAAGTACAAAAGCAGAATAGCGCCAGATCCACCGTTGCTAATATAGAAATAAGTGGGAATATTCAAGCTCGTAGAAACCTCAGATGCGGAGTAGCAGAAGAAATCGACAACAATCGCTGCGATTTTGGATTTCCGAGAGACTTCCTGGAGCGCGTCGCGAAGGTTTTGGTTGGTGAGGCGAGGAATTTCAAACAATCGCTCGAGAATATTGGGGATTGGTACGGACGGAACGGCGTCGGAGATACGATGGTAGGTGAAGGAGGGATCGTGGTGGGGAGGTGGAGCAGAGGAGATAATGGTGAGCGTAGGGCGAGGGTGGTGTTTGGCGATGAACTTGGCGAGAACGAGCATGGTATTGAGATGCGTCTGAGAGCTGTAGAGAACAATGGTTGTGGGGAGATCATCTTCCATTTCCATGGCTCTTCTGGACTGGAACGTACACCTGCAACTGCAACTCCTTTTCCTTAATTATCAGCAACACTGCACTGCACTACGGTATTGCCTTTTTTTCCAAGGCCTTTATAACCCTTCAATTTTATTTATTCAATTTTAATTTTAAACATACAATTTTACTTCGATTATAATTTTATTTTTCATTATTATTTTTTAAATATTTAATTTTTATATTATTTTAAATAATTTTTTATTTTTATAATTTAAAATAATTTTTTTAAAACTTTTAAAAAATAAAAAATAAATTTAAAAGTTAAAATGAAAAAAAAAAAAAGGAACAACGCCAAATTGGCACACAATTTGGGCGTCGGTGGGAAACAACCAATACTAAATCTACCGACCCAGCGCCAGGGTTGGAGATGGCCTAATGCATACATTTTCTATTGTCAATCCCTTTATAAGATAAATAATGTCCCCAAAGGTATGGTCCACTGATGCATACCGTAACGTTATGGGTTTAAGCATAGTTCACCGACGCGGACCGTCGTCGCAGATGGGCCTTTACCGTTCCAAATACGTCGCGACGTATCAATCAAATATCGGTCTATATGATTTTTTTATATAAAATTTATATTTTTTTAAAAAAAATAATTAAAATACATCAAATTATAAATATAATTAATTTAAAAATATATATTATTGAAAAAATATATTACTCCCTCCGTCCCATAAGCTTTTTGAACGTAGTTTTAGAAATATTAGTATTATATTGGGATATAGTAGGAATAAAGTAGAAATAACTAAAATAACCTTATTAGTATCTGTGATGTAATGTTAGGTAGATAGTAGAGTTACTAAAAAAAGAAAATTGATACTTTGTTATGAGACGGACTAAAATAAAAAAATAGATACTTTGCTATTGGACGAAGGGAGTATAATTTATAGTAGATTAAAATTTAAAATAAATAATAATTCAACTAAATTAGCGCATATATATATAAATATAAATGCTAAATTTTATGTTTTGCATAGTCATTATACTAATAAATTTATTTTAATAACAAAATGATGTACCTTGTGTCCGTCAATGTCAAGATTTCATTCTTATCATTTGTATTACATATAAATAAAAATAATTAGAAAAAAAATACCAATAAAATTTTATAAAATGTTCAAACTATGTTTATACTAAATATTTATACTTACCATTCAATACCATGTGGAATATCGTGGAGGCTCAAAATCATTTTTATCTGCCGATCGATTATAGTATGAATATCCTTGTTCTGGATTCATATTGCGTGGATAAGGGGAGATGTTCGAACCATATTGATTTTCTCTAAATGAACCTCTTTCATATACATCAAAACCTCGATATTCCCTATTATCATTGCTTCTGCTTGATGAACCATAATTTTGTCTACGATCATCAATACTATCCAAACCAAATGTAATCCCTCCGTAATATGTTCCAACTGGTTGGTTGGATCCAAATATAGGAAGATTGGCTGAATCCTAAAGAAGTCTGGGTAGATTAGATAAACCGTATCCTGGGTAATAGGGATTATGATATGCATTTGGTTGGTCCCACTCTTGTTTCCCCAATCTATTACTCGAGCAGTGAGAAGAATCTCCATAGGAATAACCTATATTCAAGTCTTGCATATGTTCGTGAACTCCAGAATATCTCCTAATATCTGAAAAATTTGAAGCATCGGCTTCACTTGAAAATTCTGTTAAACTATTTATAAAATCTTTTTGAGCTTCTATACCAGGACGATATCCATGATCAGTGTCTTGGGTAGCATAATAATTTTCATTTCCTTGAGCCCATTCCATATCACTTGAGTATCGGCTATCCCTGTAGTTCCCACTACCACCACCATCACCACCACCACCACCACCACCATCATCATCATCATCATTGTTATTATTCTTATCTTCACCACTAGTTGATGAAGATGAAGATTCCAATATGATTGTTTCTTTTTTTTTTTGGCGTATTTTTATTTTCTGATTTTTTTTTCTTTCGCCTTATTTTTCCCATCATCTATAAGTTGAGAAAAAAAAACATATCGATGTCATGATCATTATGCTCACTTTGACCTCCATCTCCACTTTCTTCAATAGCCTCATCCAACCAATTCAAATCACTATCACGAATAAGTGGAGATTCATTTTCTCTGAGTCATTCATCTAAAATATCATTTTCATAAAAAATATGATTCAAATCAATTGGGTCATAAAAATCGTCTGTGTCTGTCCTTTGCATAAAATTTTTTACCCGAAGACGCATGTTGTAGTGGACATAGACTAGCTCATGCAGTTTCTCAATAGCTAATATATTCTGAAGTTTAGTATGGATCAAAGCCCACATACTCCAATTCCACTCACAACCCGATGATGTGCAAGTTTGACTCAAAACTTTTAATGCAATTTTTCTTAAATTAGGGGCTTCATCACCGTACATATTCCACAAGTCAGCTATTAAAAATAAATAAAAAAATTATTAATAATGCAACATTTTATAACAAGTATGTTTAAAAATATAATTAAATGATAAATTTTATAATACATATTTGGTAAAGATGTAGATACAGCTCTAATAGCAAGTGCACTTCCAAACTCTCAAATTTTGTTAACAAATATGTTTATCTATAGATAATATAATGGTAAAATTATTAGAAATTAATATATATATTATTTATAAATTTCACACAATTTACCTCATTCATAGCCCTTACTTATATATCCAAATCTGGCTCGAATCTTTTGATAACTTCTTTTACTCATTTTCGAACCTCCGATGAATCAAATTCACAAGTGCCGGAGTATTGAAGACCAGGATTTAAAAAATAAGCTGCATGAAATGTATATAAAATTAAAAATTAACACAAACGATTAGCACAGTATAAAAATAAAAAAAAAGTAACAACAATAATTACCTGTTGCATGCAAATCTTGATGCAATTGATTATACCATCTTTCGTCGATGATATCCCAATATTGTTGAAAATCTTTCACCGCGGTTTTTATTGTCATTTTTGCCCTATCCATTGTCTCATAGATAATAGGTAGAGTAGGCTTTTTATCTTGATCAACTACTTTTAAAACCTTCACTAAGGGTTCCATGACCCCACAAACTCGGCGTATCCGTTTCCAAAATCTTTCATTCAAAATCAAGTCTGATATATCTCCGACTTCATGTCTTCTCCTCGAGGTATTATTGTACTCAACCCATTATCTAGAAGTACACATTCTTTTCAAATCGGTTGCATATCTCAGAAGACTTTCCATTGCAACAAACTCGGTTGCAAATCTTGTTATGCCTGGTCGCAAAAGATCTCGGCCATTCGTATATGTTTTCATCAAATTGACCACTTTATCACTGTTGTATATCAATCCTGTAATTCTTCTGGCTTCTTTTATCGTATCTTTCATTGACAATATATCTCCGATGTCTTCTAACATAAAATCAATGCAATGCGCAACGCATGGAGACCAAAAAATATGCTTCCTTTTCCTCATCAGTTTTTTCCAGCCGCCTTCATACTAGCTTCACTATCAGTTATAATTTGTACAATATTGTCAACCCTTACTGATTCCACCACCTTATCCATTATGGTGTAGACAAAGTCCGCAGTCTTTGCCTTATTTGTACAATCAACTGAACTGTGATTTATTATATCTCTATCACAGTACACCATAAAATTTATGATTGGATGTTTTGTGCGAGTACTCCAACCATCACACATAATTGTACATCCATATGTTTTCCATTTCTGCTTTAAAGAATCAATATACTGTACAACTTCTTGCATCTCATCGTTTAAATATTCACCACCAATTTGCTTACCAGTAGGTCCTTTAACTCCAGGTCCAACCAATGCAATCATGTCAATCATCGTTTGGTAGTAAGGACCACTATCGGCAACGTGAAATGGTATTGCATTATAATGAAAAATTTTCGAAATTGCCACTTTTTTTGCATTATCTTTTGAAAACATATTTTTCAAAGACTTATTCTTCGATTGAAACATGTATGGATCAAGTTTTTTTTATGCAAACCTTCTGTCTTTTTCATAAAGTTTTCGAAAAAGTTTCTTTTACTTCATTTTGTATTCGAGCTGCTTCATCCTACAAAGATAAAAAAAAAAACATATGATCATATATGGTTGTTATCTCAAAAAATATATATATACTAATATTTAAATATATTTTATAAATTCAATAAATATACCGGCTTTAAAATTCAAGCTTGGTAGATCTCCGGATACAAAATGTCTACGCTGCTGCTCCAAAAATTCCATATGTCTGCTTTCAGCCATTGCTCTTTTTAAGTGTTTTCTTTCAAAAGCATTTATCTCATCTTCATTTATTCAAAAATTTCATCTTCTTTCTCATCAGAATCATCTTCCAAACTAATGGAATTGTGCAATGCTTCTAACTTTTTTTTGTGTTGCTCACATACTTTTTCCTTGGATCAAGTATTTTCTTAATAACTCTCTTATTTCTTTTGGAGCTCTCGTGCATGCTTCAACTTGACCTGTAACATGTGCTATATGTTGTTTCATCCTAGTAATTCCGCCGTGAACAATTTTATCACAATAATTTCATTTTGCTTGTCTTCTATCGTTGTTGATAGGAGTAGTATGATCCTAACCAATATCTCTGTGTGGTGTCATTTTATACAAACATAATACAATTGTTAAAATATTTATAAATAGTAATTTATTAATTAACTAGATAAATTATATATATTAGTTTATTAATAAATCAAACTTATACAAAAATTTAACTAGATAACTAATTTGTTTATAAAAAAATCTAGTTAAAATATTAATTTTTTACAATAAATTTACAATTAATACAAATTTTGTCTAAAATAATATTAATTTTAAATAATAAAGTTATAAGTTATTCTAAAATATTAAAATACTCAATTTATATAGATTAAATAAAAATTAAATACAATCCAAATTAAATTGAATTTATCAATTAATTAAACAAATTATTCTAAACAATTAAATCTAAAATAATTAAACCTATCAATTAAATAAATAAATTAATCAAAATAATTCAAAAATAATTTCAATCCAAAAATAAGTAAAATAATTAATTTTATACTATATT